TATATATATATATATGTCTCATTTCATTACATATTCAAATTTATATTCCAAATTATTTATATTTCCAAATTTCGCAATAAATTAATTTTTATCAATCTTACACAATTTTTTCAATTTTCGAAAAGTTTGTGTACATTTTTAATAATATATTGAAAGAAATATAAAAAAATAAAATACATTGTGACGTTTTAATACATTATTTGTAAACATTTGTGACAAATATATGATAAAACTATTGAAAAAAAAACATATAAGCTTTTATTTATCAATTATTGATTCAAGTTAGATAAATTAATTTTTAATCATATGTATAATTTGTTTCTTCCTTTCTCTTTTTCATTTTAATTTTGTGTCATATTAATTTGTATTCCTTCATTTTCATTACATGAATACATATATGCATATGTATGTGTGTATATATAATTTTTGTTTCTCTGAAATAACGTCCACTAATCATACAGTACTATTCTTAATAAAAAACATGCATCGAAAACTCAACTATTTTGCAATTTTCACAATAGTTAACGAGATATTAATTTCTAAACATTGCAAATAAACAGATAAATCCGATGTATAAAACAATTTTAAGATATCTTTCACTGTTCTTTATAAAATATTTTGAAGATGTTTTTTAAGAACTCGAAAGATACTTTAAAGTTGTCTTACATATCGATTTTAGACATTTTGCTCGTTGGTTAAAAAAAAAAAAAAAAAAAAAAACGAAAATTGCAAAATGAGAACTCCAACTCAGCTTTTTATTAGGAATAGCACTGTAGGAGCGTTATTTCAGAAACATCCTCTGTGTGTGTGTGCACGCACGCACACACGCATACACACACATACAGAGTAATTATACAGTACACTTTTACATAAAATATAAAAGTAACAATAAAAACATTATAATTTCAATTATATGGAATTAAATTAACAAAATATTATATACAATAGAGTATTCTATAATACAAATACTGTACTAAAGAATATCATAAAATATAAATGAATTATATATAGAGATATTATATACAAAACAGAATACATGTCGATGCACATATACTCATAATTGTTTGAAATAATATAAAAATGTAGGAATAATTAATAATTTATTCAGAATTTATTACTAAATTGATTTGCAAAAGTACCATAAAATATGAAATGAAAGAAAACGGTACGAAAGCTCTTAAAGCTCCATTATTAAATTAACTTGGAAATAAAATGCTGCATTATACCAATAATCAAGTTTTATTCTTTCATTCCTTAATTGAGTAATTGTTAAGATCAAACGTAATACGTGTGGAATAAGTTAATTATTAATCGATAAAATTACTAAGAGAATAAAGAGAATAAGAATTTTGCAATGTACTTCTGCATTGTCATCATCCTTTAGATATCAATCAACTGGATTTTGAATCACTATCAATATAAATTCCTTGTCTGGTGCGACCATAATTTCATGCTTTTTGCTACGGATGCGCAGGAAAGTTAAATCATTGGTCGGATCTAGATCGCGTACAACAGAGCGGGCTTTATCTGATAATTGACTTATCAAACCTGCATACTGAACTGTCGTAGTGTTGTCTAATGTTGATTTTATTGGAATACCTGAAAATCAAAGTGCAAAATTCAATGAGAATTTCCTTACATTCACAAATAGATGGTTTCATATGTTTTTTAAATGTAAAATAAAATACCTTCTGCATTTACCACTATTGTTCCAACTACTCCCTTGTGAGATTGAATCCGTTTCATAGTTTCTTCGACTTCTTGCGCCTGAAAATGTACTCATTTCGTAAACAATTATCCAGTTGTGCGAAATTACGGAATTATGTATACGTATATACCATTTTGTAGAAGAATGAGAGAGAGATACACTTGTGAGATCTCTTGAAAAACGATGCAATCGCAATTTGTAAATTAAAACCAATTATTAGGCTTAGGATAATATGTGTGTCTACCGTGTTGCAGAATTTATCCTCTTTTCTCGTGGCTCCCTTTAAGAAAAAAAACGCCACTCTTTTATGCGCAATTAGGGGCTTCGCATAATAATAGGAACAGGGAATAGAGAACTGAGAGAATAAGAATTTCAACCTATCAGAAACTGTGTATTCCACAACATGATTTTTGATAGGTCGAAATCTTATTCTCTGTTCCCTGTTCCTTTTATTGTGCGGAGTCCCTTACACATAGTTAATACATATGTTTTATAAATATATTAAATGTACGTACGAGAAAAAATCTAGGAGAGAGAGAGAGAGAGAGAGAGAGAGAGAGAGAGAGAGAGAGGGAGAACATGAGAGCCTTTTTCCTGTAACCGCAAAATGCCTAGCGCGTTATCGCCCTCTGAAGAAGTGGATGTCAACTACACAACGATATCCATTCTACTTTTTTGCAGTGTACCCATCTGTGATGGAAATAAATCGTCAAAATCGTTTAAATCTTTATTAATATGAAAGATTTTAGTGTATTATTTCAACGATTTCAACAATTTATTTCAATCAGGAACACTGCAAAGGAGTGGATATTGTTGTGTAATTGACATCCACTTCTTCAGTGGACAAGACACAATAGCGCGTAAGTCATTGGCTGCGTTCAGCAGAGAAAGAAACTTTGCAACTGTTGTAACATTCTTTAATATGATTGGTCTAGCCTTAGTTCTTCATTGGATCTAAATGTACAAGCCAATTATATTCAAGAATTATATAATAGAGAATTATATAATAGTTGCATAATTGTTTTCTCTGCTGAATGCAGCCATTGTGGGGAATGTTTCCAACAAATTAAGACGCAATATGTACTTACAATAAATAAATAATACTTTTATTCTGCATATAATTTACAAACAGACTCGGCTTGGTAATTCTTAATTATATGTAAACAAAAAAATATCTACCGATCTTTTTTAACAGAAAAAAAATCTCTGTCTAAAATATACGGACAGAAAAACTATCTCTAATTTTTAATGCAGGATTACCAAATTTAAACTTCTAGTAAAACTAAAGACGCCACATCAGTCATACCAGAGATTTAATTGTTACTTTAAAGTCACTAGCTTAACAAAGTACCGCAAACTGTCGCCATTTTAGCTCCATGACGCGCGATTATTCAAAACTTTAGCCTCTTTTGCTGCGGTTGTTGCAATTTTCAATATAGCAACACAGTAAACCATTATTTTCGATAATAACAGAATCAGGTTCTTCTTCTTCTTCCAGATCCCTGTATGGATTTCCGATTTTTTAAGAATCAGGTTAAGACTTGCACTTCGACGTCATTTTGGCTCCAAATGCTAATTTAGTGAATTCTCATACTTTTTATTAATGTAATGACTTTATTGTTACTTTATTTTAAAGCGCCTCTATGTCCATTCGAGAGAAACATGACTCTGATCACAAATAATTTATATTTCTCCTTGTTTTCCAATTGTTTACAAATGCAGTTATTTTAATTATACATATATATATATATGTGTACACATTTATGTATGTAGTATTTTCGAGTGCGATGGATTTTAACCTAACCTAACCTAATCTAACCGAAGACGAATCGATTACATCACATGTTTTACTTTGATTTCTGGTTAAACGAGGTCATGATACTTTCGAGTCAAACATGGGTTAACTAAATTAATAAAATATCCACATTTTGTGGATATAGAAGTGTTTCAAAATAAAATAACAGATAAATCGCGGGCATGATCTCTCTGCTACAGATTGCTTAGGGAGCGTTTACATTGGCCGTAATCTGTAAAAATTGACCAATCATCTTCGAATTTTCTCTTCTTACCGTCGAATGCGAGGAATATTTGACTGTGGGTCAATGCGCAACTAACGCGATGCTACAAATGCTTTGAAGCGGTTTTTAATTGGTCAATAAAATGATTGTAAGATTCTTTCTTCTAATTCTATCAAATGCTTCAAAACATTTGTAGTGAGACTTTGACTACAGCCTGTGATTAGTATTAGTAATGTTTTCAAAGTATGTGTAGCGCTAACGTAAAATAATGATCTAAAAATTCGCCTACTTCGTACAATGTCCATTATACATAAATTTAAGATGTTCCACTAGAAAGATATATAGTATATTGATTATTAATATCTTTAAGAACTGCAATTAAACGAATATAAATTCAAAAATATATAATTTATTTATCAATAGTTATTAGCACTTTCGGATATAGGGTCTGAATCCAATCCAATTTGGTTAACTCATATTTGACTTGAAAGATCATGGCCTCGTTCAACCAGAAATCAAAGTAAAACACGTGATGTAATCGATTCGGGTTAGATTAGGTTAAAATCCATCGCATTCGAAAATACTACATATATGAATGTATAATTAAAATAACCGCATTCGTAAACAATTGGAGAACAAGGAGAAATATAAATTGTTTATGATCAGAATCATGTTTTTTCAGCTAAATGTTTCTCTCCAGTAATTAATATGATAGTTGAAAAAAGTTAGTCATGTGATAAATTCAAATGCACTTTCTGACGATGAGAACGCATTACGCACGGGATAGGATACAATAAGATTTGTAAGCATTTGTCAATACAGCCGAACAACAAAGTCCGTGCCAGCGTATTTCGGTAGGTTGAGATTATACTGCGATTCCAACTTCTCAGGCACAAATCGTCCACCCAGATAGTGGAATTTTCCGTCGAACTTCGACGCGCACATTTTTGGTGCCGTTAGAGATATCAACATTTGTGGCTTTATGCCACCAGCCTCAGGTGGGCCTCTCTCGACGTCCCAGCCCGATGGTATATCCACGCTGCAAATAGGCACGCTTGTGCTTTTCAACATGTCGATGATATGAACGAATGGCTCTCTCACTGGTGGTCTGAAGCTGAATCCCAGAAGAGCATCCACTACAATCACATATTTGTGCAAAAAAACTGTCGAGTCTGCAGTTGCTTCCTCTATGCGCTGATTTTCCAGTACAAGTATACCGTTCTCGACGCATTGATGTAACAGCCTTTGGTATAGCTCATTATTCGTCCTCTTTGGATAATAGATCTCTGGCGAATATCCAAAGAGCTTTAGGTGCCTCGCGCAAACTAGGCCGTCGCCACCGTTGTTGCCAGGCCCACAGCACACCAATACTCGGTTGGAGGAGACATCCTCCGAGTCCAACGACAACGGATAAGACCTCGCAATCGCAACGGCGCAGCTTTGCCCAGCTAGCTCCATTAACTGATCTACGCTAAATTTATACTTTTCGAACAGATCTTTGTCAACGTTAATAGCTTCCGATTGATTTAAATATTTGACCATTCTGTTGTATTTTCTTCTTGCAAGCAGAACAAATGATTTGTCGATCACAGACCTGCAGACTTTGATTCTCTTGATGCTTTGCGATTTCAGAATGCACGGTACGAATTGTAACATCTGTTGACAACAAAATCATTTATGAGTTTATCTTTGGATGCAACGTGAATTACTTACCTACTTGTCCGTCTTTTGCTTATCACTGCTTATTTCGCTGCCTATACAGCTATAGGTAGTAAGTTCGTGCTGTCAAGCGACACACAACAATAACAATATGTGGCATCATCTGGCGGAGTTCTTTTGAAATCTCGTTCGACTTACGACTTACGACTAGTCGACGATGTAAACGACGACAATGTTGAATGTAGGGTAAGTAGGTACTAGGTCGTTTTACTCATCGTTCGAAGGATGTAGCGTTTACATCGTATATATGTACATATATACGCATGCATATACGAGAAATTTATTAACTTTACAAGAATGTCTATGAATGATAATCGACTCTACGCGGTAAATGACATATGTAACAGAATGTCTAAGGAATTTGTGACCGTCGATGGCAATGTGAGGAAGATTCAGAAAGAGACTCTAACTCCTTACAAAGTGGCAACTGTTATTCTAATTAAAGAATACTGTAACGATACCACGAAAGGTATGCTTTTATTGTGCGACATTTCATTTGTGGCTACATAAATTCGTTACGCCATCTTCGTATTCCTTTGCATAAACTTAATCTTTGACAATTTCTAGTGATCATGGAGAGACGTAACTTTTGTTTAGCATCGTTAAAATTAATTCAGGTAACTATTTTACACATTAAGGAGAAAGAGAGAAGCATATTTTGGATTGCATGTAAGATGATTATTTTTTAGTCGGCAGATATGGAGTTGGATGCCCTGCTGAATATGTTATACGAGCCAGAGTATGCCTTACATCGGTTTGCGGATCGACTGGAAATAAATCTAGATGCTGTACATGAGAAAGGAATCGATCAGCTATTAGATTTATTTGATAATCTTCGCCGATTAATGGAATCCAAGGATCACGCGTTATCTTTACCAGCATTAAGTAGAAATTCTGTTCTTGGGTTGTACGTTCGTAGGATGCTCATTTTCTTTGAAAAATTGGCCTTCGATCAAGTGGTTGCTCTCTACAACGATATGGAGAAATATGTTGTGAAAAAAATCGATAGTCTGGAGAATTCTGACATTTCAATTTCCAAGCAAGAGGATTTTTTTGGTCCGGATAAGTAAGTTTTAGAATAGAACATTATATATAATGTAATGTTACAGGTATTTACAAGTAGAATATTTTGTCAATGTCGATGCTTTTTACAGTAAAGCAAAAACAATTTGGGGTGGAAGACAAGCAGAATTACTCGTGGCGCAACAAGCGCATGCTTTACAAACTGACGAGCATAAAGCACTGCCACCAGTGGAGTTGCGAGTTCTCGTACAAGATCTTCTAAAGTCTAATCCTTACAATGCGGATGCAGTGAGTATGCCTAATAGAATATATATGTGAATTATTAGATAAATGTGAAATAAATATTTTTTTGCAGTTCAACAGATTTGCCTTTATTCCAGCATTACCTCAGTTATCTAAATTGCATCCGCGTCAACGATTTTTGTGGAGCAGTAGACAGTCTCTATCACTGTTTTGATAGACTGGCACCTCTGGAGAACCGATCCACACCCGAGGATCGATCTCGTACCTTCCGTTACGCGGCACTCAATTTGGCTGTTTTACATGCCCAGTTTAACCATAAGTAATCTATTTTGTCTACTTATCTCAAACCTAAAGCTCTCTTAACTCTTTGTCTACCCTCTATTTAATCTATTTAACAGTCGAAATTCAGCTAGTAGTAGTTTATATGTATGTATGTACGTATGTACATATTTACATACATATTTACATACAGCGTTACAAATTTGTTTCAACCAAGTAATTCTCGTGGCTTTCTTGGAAAGGGAAGTAGCACAGTATGCTTTGAAAGAAGCTATTAAATTAGCTCAGGAAGCTGGAGACAACGTGTGTTTGCAACTTGCGCATTCCTGGATGTCCTACTTAATCAGTAAAGAGAACAAAAAGTAAGTAGTTAATATAATGAGAGATTCTTCATTTCTTCGTCACAGATATATTACAGTAAAAATCTAATCTTTTTGACATAATTTAAAATATGTATAATCTAAAATTACATTCTTAAACCGATCGATAAAAAAATCTTGATATACATATAAGAGTTACGTTGTGATCAAGATGTTGTATAAGTTTTCTTTTATTTAAGTAAGTTGACTTTTTGTTATTATTTTATTATGCATACATATATATTTGCGTTATTCCTTTCTACTTAGAGGATCTCTGATAGAACGCTCGGTTGGCAAAGCAAGTCTACTCGGAATTACACATACGACAGGCTTAAGTCTCATTTCACACGCGCATAGTTATGCTTTAGAAGCCAAGAACCCTCCTCAAGTATTCGAGGTAAGTAAAGAGTAATTACTCAATTTGACACATTGTACAAATTTATATTAAAATTTACAATTTATATTCCAATATATAATATATAGATATTGATGAAATCGGACATGCTAAACTGCCAGCATTCAATGTCCGACTTGATGTCTGTCACTTTTGCGGAGAAATCGGCGTTGTGGGCGTACTATGGCAAAATGGAAATGGCCTCCCTTTGCGGCCAGTTACTACTTCTTCACAATACAGGTGATAAGAAGCAGCACATGTTCAATGGACCATCTACGTGCCAGGCGATCGTCACTGTCGCCAATATGTTGATCGAGTTTGGTGAATACGCTCTCGCTGACATTGTACTGGCACATGCCAAGGAAAGATTTCCCAACAGTCCTTGTAACAAGGTGTGTTATTTCATAAATGAAATGTGAAAATTATTCAAATAAAATCTTTTCTCCACGAAAAATTTCTGAAGAGTATTTGAAAAGGAAAAATTTTCCTTTTTCTTTCTTTTTTTTTCTTTGATTTTCTATTCATAATTCAGTTTATTGCTTCGTAGATCTGGATGTTAAGTGAACAATTGCATATATTGACGCAACTGCTGCGACAAGAGAAATGGGGCGAGGCAGAAGCAGTAGCTAGGAATATCTCCAGCTTGGATCAGCTGGAATCCAAACTCAGGTACAAAGAGTTTCTTTTGCGCACGAGTGCACATATGCGCACGAGTGCCAAAGAAAAATATATGATTTTTCTTATATTTGTGTGAAAATGTGCATTCCTGCAATCTAAATCTGAAATTTCTAGGTTGGTAGAAGTTTGTCTGGCAAAAGGCGATTTTCCGAAAGGACTAGAACACATTGGCGCTATCGAGGAGCATCCACACGTGACTCCGCCATACGTGATACGTGCCGCGCTTCTTTCTAGTCAGATAACATGTGTCTCCTCCTTGCCAGACAATGGGACAGCAATCGCTACTAATTGCATAATGCGTCTTTGTTCAGCCTTGGAATTGGCTGCACAGAATCATTTGTCATATTATAAGGCGCTTGTCAAGATGCACCTTGCCAATATACAAGTGAGTTCTAGTTCTCTTTATGAAAAAATATATGAATGTGTATAATTCAATCGATAAATATATCCCCAATTGTATGTATTAATCCAGTTGTTAATGGGTCTGCCTGTGTTGGCTTTGAACTCGGTGAAGGACGCTATCCCCACAGTCTTGGGTCACGGTGGCTGTTACGATCAAGGCAGGGCATTCATGTTATATGGCAAATGTCTGATAGCTTCAGCGCCAGAAAAACCTTTTGAGGCTCGGAAAGAGATAATTCTCGGCGGAATAAAATCTCTATCAAAGGCACAGGAGCTCTTTACAAAAGTTAATGCCATCGCCAAAATCAAGAGTATCGTGCATCTGCAAGCAGTTTTTTATAACGAGATTAACCTTCTGCCTGAACGAAATCAATGCGCTTTCGAATTTCGCCAAATGGATGAACAATATCTAATGACTCCTACTGATTTATTTTTGTATTAAAATTGTAGTAAAAGTATGGTAATTTTGTATAATGTATACGTTGTATACGTGGAAAAGAAACAATTTTTTGCATAAATTTAGATTAATTTGCTTGCTCCTACAGCACAAAAGTTGCAGCAACAATACATGTTGCAGCAATATTGCAGTGTTATTACAGCGATATTGCTGCAAATTCTGTGCTGTATAGGTAGGTACTAATAAAATATGTTTTATATTAATCTTTTAATGCAAAAGAGTAGAATTTGACAAATTATCTTGCACATATTTATTAAATTAATTATTAATTTGAGTTACTTCAAATGCAGTGAATTCGATTGCATTCAGTCGGTGTACATTAAAATTGTGTATAGATTAATGTAAAAACCTAAGATATGTGTGATTAAATATATTATATTATAAATGCAGAAACAAATCTTTAATACACTTTATTGTATGCTATTGGAAATTACAAAATGTATTTGGTACAATTTATTAATTAAATGAAAATCAATCAATAGGATTAAGCATACATTAGTGAAAACTGAAAAGCTATATTACCATGTGGTCAAAGTGATTCTTCGTATCTAATATTTTTTACAATTTTTACAATTTATACAAGTTCAAGATGATTATGCACCCATTATTATTCATCAGTTTTGAAACACTACTGTACTAAATCGAAGCTGCAGGACTAGTACAATATGTACATACAATATATTCACACAAATAAAATTAAAAAGTAATTTAATATTATTGCTGCAAATATGCATCTTATGTATAATATGCTGTTAATGAGCTTCAACAAATAATTGGTGCACAGTGCTTGAACTGGAAATTGTATAAATTCACAAGAAATATTATTGGGCACAAAGAACAAAAGAACAGTTTTGACTGAATTTTATAATTCAAAATATTTTTATTTTATTTTAATTTGAATTAAATCAGTGATGATACGCTCGCTGGACGACTACTAATGTGTCTAACCAAATTCGTTTAATTAATTAGAGTCATGTAGACGAGATTTCGCGAACACCCGACACACGCGTGCTGCGTTAAACGAGAATGTTACGTTATCGAATATGGATCGCGCAAAAACATTGCTGATTGTTGATTGCGATGCACGTAACAAAGGAATACATTGGAAAGTGGAAATACTGGAATCTGTAATAGTTATGTATGGAATACATACGAGTGTGAACGTATGTGCTATGAGAGTCGAAAGACTCGAAGGAAGTAGACGCGCCGATGCGATGTGACATATGTACATACATATGTAGTACGTACTTGGTGGCGCGGTGCGACGTAATGTGGCGTAATCAGTCGTAATCAGGCGTAATGTGGCATAGTGACACGCACCAATGCACGGCACGGCGCAAAACAAGGACGGATTGAACAGCTGATCCTCGCCGCGCTGTCGTGATCTAAGGGTCTATCGGCCGCGAGTTTCACGAGACCACGATATCGTCATTTGTCCCTCCTCAATTGACGATTGCCATCAATTACTGTCGGCGTCGACGGTGATTGAGTTCGAATAGACGAGTACGCGAAAAGAGACAGCGCGCATCTCTGTCATCTCCGAATTCTCATTCCTCCCCCGAGAGCTGTGCTTGTCTCGGCGGCCGCCGCGTGAATTAGCCCCTTCCCGCGCGACCCGCGATTACTCCCCGCCGCGACATTCACTCCTTGGCTTGGACCGGAGAGACTGAAGAGCAGGGAGAGCGGAGGGTCAGCCGAGGGCTCAGTGATCAGTCACCTTAAGTCACCTATCGTCTGGTCCGATAAGAGGTTCGCCCCCGAGTCCGGGGACATTATTGGGACATTATTATGGCCAGTCCGGTGGTTGGCACCGGATATAACTTCAAAGTGGTTTTGCTCGGCGAAGGATGTGTCGGCAAGACCTCAGTTGCTCTACGATATGTCGAGGACAAGTTCAACGACAAGCATATTACCACGCTACAGGTGAATCCTCCCTTCCATGAAACTTGCTTTTCCAGCCTCTTCTTCTCTTTTTAATCCTACTCGAATTTCTACATATTACTCGAATTTCTACTATATGTACCTACTTTTGAAAAGGAGCTCTCGAAATTTGTTTCGCAGCATACGCGAGTCTCCCGGCAGATTTTTTTTCTTATTCGAATTCTGCAAATTGCATAGAGAGAAAGCAAGTTATCGTATATACTAATTAATAATAAGAGAATTAGAAAAGTATTGTAATTTCCGGCGTATACAATACTGCGATTGGGATTTGAGGAAGCCAATCTCTTCCTTAACCTAACTCTTCCCTAACCTCTTCGACTCCAAGCGCTCGCGGAAAAGCATCTCGATGCGTTTGCTTCGTATATGTTTCAGGCGTCGTTCCTGAATAAGAAATTGAATATCAATGGAAAAAGAGTCAACTTGGCGATATGGGACACCGCCGGGCAAGAAAAGTTTCACGCATTAGGACCAATTTATTACAGAATGTCCAATGGTGCCATTCTCGTGTACGACATTACGGATGAGGATACCTTCCAAAAGGTATAAATATCTATCTATATACAAATATCTATCGTGCAAAGTATTTTTGTATCAATGATATAATGAAATTGAACAACTTTTTGTGCATGTTGTCAGGTAAAAAACTGGGTAAAGGAGCTTAAGAAGATGTTAGGTAGTGAAATTTGCTTAGTGATAGCAGGTAATAAAGTGGACTTGGAGAAGGATAGGAACGTTGCCACAGAGGAAGCTGAAGAGTAAGTTTGATGAATCTCCTCTTTTACATGATATTATTATCAAGTGAACATAGCACATGACCACCAATGAATCTTCTTTCCTTAGGTATGCCAAACAGGTGGGAGCTATGCATTTTCATACATCAGCCAAGTTAAACCAGAACATTGAAGAGATGTTTCTAGACTTGACGCAACGCATGATGCAACGTGCAGATGAGGCTGAGCAAAAATCCACGCTCACAAGGACCAATAGTACGCGTCGCAATGTCGTGATGGTCGAGGATGAAGCAGAACAAACTCAACCGAATAGAAGTTCCTGCTGTGGTGGTGGTGGTGGTGGTAGTAGTGGTGGTAGTGGTGGCAGTGGCAGTGGCGGTGGAGGCGATAACGGCAGCTTTTCGTAGACCTTTAAAATCAATTTATGTTCAATTTCAGATACAAGGTCTAATTTCGGTAATTTACTAACTATGTACAGGATGGCGCATTTCAGATGTGACAAATTACTATTTGTAAGTGATAGTTTGTCATATTATAAATGCTTCATCTTATATATACACAAGGACAAGAGTGTTACGTATGAGTGTGCACATGTATGTCTATATACATATATGTATTTTTAGCTGCGGTAATTCTTGGATAGCAAAGATACTTGTATACTTGTGTGTGTATGTATATACATATACATATATATGTATGTGTGTGTGTATGTGTATATATATATATATTATATGTGTGTGTGTGTGTGTGTGTGTATGTATGTATAGGTACAAGTTACACATAAATTTTTCTGAGGCAGATTCCATATTATACCATTTTGTTGAAGACAGAGATGAGTTGTTAAAATTTTTGGTAAAGACTTTAGATTTGTACACATATGGCTACAGCCTTTCATTGTCATTTGCGAACATCATGAGATAAGTCTTATTTTTTCCAGACAGATTTGTCTCATCATCGATCAGATCTGTCTTTTCAAATAATTTCTCATTCAAAGCAGTGAAACAATGTATAATCATGAAACAATGTATAAGCAATGTCACTTCTTTCCAATGAATCGTCATTTCAGATGCTACTTTTTTTTCATAAATATATACGATTGCACGAGTACAGTGTGTTTCTATTCTACTTAAATCACGCGTTTATAATAAAGACAAAACAATGTTTGAAATATTATATTAATCTAGCTGTTTCGAGTTTCTCAATCCTAGTGTAGTTGCAAAAATTTTGTAAAAGGCAAAAAGGTAAATGCTTCGTCCGAATCATCCCGTTTTTTCAATGCCGTCAATCTTTCGATTTAAGTATATGTAATCTTTGCAATCCATAAATTGCTACAAGCTGATTAACTAAAAATTAGCTAATCATTAGACAGCGCGGTCTTGTCGCGAGACGAGGGCATTTTCAAGGGAGAATAGAAGAAGACTTGCGGCTTTTATCCAAAATGATAGTTTGGATTATTGTACATATTAAGTGCCGATAATTTTATTGTATTGATTTGGATCGTATATTAAGTAACACGCAATATGTTTATTCATCTCAAGTTATATAAATTAGTGATACAAGAGAGTTGTTATTTAAATTATTGTTACTGTAAGTTATTTTATGAACATAAAATGGTAACTCTTGTAATAACGTTACAGAGAAACACTTCATTTAACATTTATCCATCTCAATCCTATCGTTACGAAAGTTAAGTTTTGCTTATGAATTATACACAAAACTGAACCTACAAATAAACACGCTTTATTACACGTTCTATTAACAACGAGGAATGTAATCGAGTCACATCAGTTCTATATAGGTCTGGGTTAGTCTTTTTTTTTTATGATAGAGAGCGGATTGAGACTGCCAAGCTCATACTTTATCCCAGTTACCTATAATGGCAGGACTATTTGAGGGGATATACAAATCTATGATTTACTATGCGAAAAATTGCCAAGTCTCGTATTCTTACACTTAGACGACGGACAAATTTACCAAGTCTCTATAGATAATACAACACTTAGCATTTAATACATGTTAAATTTTTCCCTTTTTTTTTATTAATTCTCTTTCTCTTTTTATTTTCTTTTAGTTCTCGTTATAACATCAAAACTAATAACAAGATGATTGTTTTGAGATCATAATTAAAAAACTATTATGAAATCACTAGAATTTACTTGCGCGCGCGCACAAATCTTCCTAATTACATCTATCTCGTCTCTTTCGAGTTTACTTAAATACAGTATCACATATACTATATTCGTTAGACCACAATTATTATTAAATCATTTTGTAATATATACAAACTCTCTACTTTACAAGAAATGCAAAGGATGCCAAATATTAAAACGATTGCATTTGTTGCAATTTTCCTATTGTAGATTTAAAATGTATATCAAAACATTTTACGAAAATTTCGTTTCTACAAGACTTTTAATTAACATGATTAATTAACATGATTACAACACAATGCGATCGACAACCGAACAACTTTAACAATTTCGAGTTTAATGAAAAGAAATAATAAAAGACGATATTATTATGCAAATATGAATCCATTAAAACGAAAATTATAATCTATTTGATAACAATTATTAATTTAATTTAAAGTTTTTAATTGAACAAAGAAAATAATAAGAAAAATAACTAAAATCTTAAAAATTATATATGAAATGCGTGTGATTTATGTATGCTAAAAGAAATTAATTCGTTGTTTGAAAGTTTTAATAATATTAAGTGATTTTTTAAATCTAAATAAAAATCGGGATAAATCACGGTTTATTTCTCGATATTCCAACCCCGAGGCACCCCGCTCGATATTTTTTTTTTCATCCTCGAATATATTATTATATTTGCTTAAGCGTTATTAAATAGATAAACATTATTTCTAGATAATCTTACATATTATATTCACTGTGTGACGTTCTCATGTATCTTTGGTATTTGGTCATAATTTTTCTCTAAATATACAGATGTGTTCTCTTGGAGCTGGTGTTCCAATATCGCACAGCTGGCATCAAATTCGAACGTTTTATTCTTTCGTCCGAAAATTATTATACCTATTCGTATTAAAAAATCTTGTGCAAAATCACAATTGTGTAAATGAACAATTGAGTGTTTCCTTCTATCCTCCTCTCTTTCTCTATCACGTAGAATATAAAAATATTTCAGCAAATGAAAATGTGGACGTGTAGTTAGTTGAATTACAATTAGGCCTTCGGTGCTGTCGCTTTTAAATAATAAATATTTTATCTTGATAGGTGAATAAAAAGTCTATAAATTGATTGATGGGTCCTATCGCAGAGAGGGACATTCCACGCGCTGGCGGTGCTCTAACTAGATTCGGTCCAAATACGACCGCGAGATTACTAGAAGTCATCTTGTTCAAGTCGCATCGGTCCATTACCTATCAATAGCAAGAAAGATACAGATGAATGTAAAGATCCATTTTTCATTGTAGGAAATCGGGACTGCGAATATTGGTTACGTACCCTCGATAAAAATTGTACGACATATTTAAGAACTTGATAGTTGTCTTCAGGGAGTTTCTCCAATATTAATATCTTAACTTTACGCGGACGTTCGTCTTTTGATAATACTACAGTAAAAAAAAAAAGAAAAAAGTTTAAAGAAATACATTATGTCGCTTGGAAAAACAAGAAAAGGAAGGAATATTATATATACATATATATGTATACATACTCACTTTGGAATTGCGTGATTTCGTCATACAATTCGTAAGTCATAAGAGGTTCGTCTAGCTCACGGAGAAAAGTCTTAAGTAAAACCGCGGCGATATGCGGGTCTCCTTGGAAATCAATGGGTAAACCTTGATTACAGCGATTCTGAAGTTCCTTGATTACCGCTACGTTAGCCGATCTTCTGAATATCCCTTCTGTCTCTAGAGCTGAAACAATGATAAAACAATTGTCAATTGGAATATAACAAGATGAAACTGATTATTTTTGTTGAAATATCGTACCGTCAGGTGTATCGAGAAATTCTACACACTGTCTTAGAATCGGTGGTATCGAATCGCCATTATTATTTTCTTTTATGAATTGCAAACTAGCACCGAACTGAGTCGTGCCAACTGGTGTGACTACCGCGCTTTGTGGTGGACTCGCCGGCAAATTTTTCTTATTTTTCATCATCAGCTGTTCATTGTGTCTGAAAAAACCATCTCATGTGAACTACATCTACGTGCAATTTGATTTGACAAGATTTTATTCTTCTAAAATACTATTTTGCATAATAGCATAACTAAATTGCATACTCTATCACTTGAGGTGGTATAATTAGTTGATCCAGGTTAACGTATTGTGCTAATTCTTCTAGATAATTAACATACATCATTTTCCGTCCGAATTTTACACTGTAAAGATTAATATAACAAATTATGCAATATATATTAATATACATATATATATATATATTT